GGTGAGGGTGCTTCTTATAAAAATGAAGATGTAGAGTTTCGTTGTCAATACTATTAATTAAGTGTACTGTAGTTGACAAAGCTTTTATTCAAAAATCAGAAGGTACTGAGGCATCAGGAAGCAGAGTTGGGGTCACATCTAATATATGACAATTTTTCTTTTTGCTTGAATTGAGCTATATCCAAACAAGATCTTTGATGTAATTGGAGAAAAAAATTTCAAATTGTCTTATTAATATTCATCGATTTAAATTGGAGTGAAAATTGATTTTTGACGTATGCAAGGAAAGCTTGAATTCGTCAAAAAATTCAGATTTAAAATGTAGTAAATAAATTCATGCATGATATGGTCATAATTATTAATGAATGTGTTGACCTCGGAAAATGAACTCAACGGATGTCGGGCCCACTCGTGTATGCGTAAGCTATATCCGACACGTTAAGGTAGATCTACGGTCGAGATCTCTCCAAAGATTGGACGTAGGAGAAGTTCAACAATACGAGACGTTTCCGTTCGGGGCTCCGATAAGATTTACAGAACAAGATTATATAATGATCAATCGATAAGAGCAAGATTTGTAGTTGTAATAACTGATAAGAGAATAAGATAGGTTGTTTTGAGTATTTAAAGTTTCATTAGCCTTCAATTGTTACATGAATTGAGTATTTATAGTGTTACAAATGAAATGGTGACCCTTTGATCAAATTACACGTGGCCTCATCTCCTCGGCCGAAACATCAGATCCTACCTATCATATTGACTTTCCTAACTTTACAAAACATTAAATGTTCTCACGTTGACAAGACAAGACACAAATACACTTTTCACCAGGGTCACATCAATCATTCGAATAAAGATCTTTATCATGAGCAAATCCTTGCACTTGGACAGTCGAGAGCTGAGGGGCCTCGGTTCCAAGAGGTGCCTCAGGAGTAATTTGGCCTCTGCCGCTAACAGGGCCTCGGATAAGGGGCCTCGGTCTATATAGAAGCAGGGCCTCGGTTAAGGTGGTTGGGACAAATCAGGTCCCACAACTTAATTTTGATGGCCACGTGACAGTCCCTAATAACGAGTCATAACAGAATAGAACATTATGTGGACAAAACAAAGATGTATTCTTTGGATAGCACGGCAAACTTAGAGTGAATAGTCTTCCACATTTAGGTCCCTTCTCGATCATTTTCCCCATAAGGCTATGAACAGGCAATAAAGCTGGCGGGTAGCTCGAGTCCTTAAAAGCTTACGAATCTAAATGCACAGAAATAAGGTTGGGGGACATGTTTATACAAATTTAATAAATTGTTGATTGGATGGATCCCGTGGGAATGACCCTGACAAAACATGGAGTATGGACCTTCATTAATTATTTTTTAAATACTATTTAAGTAAAGTCGGTCGACCATAATTAGATGGTTGAGAACATTTATTGTCTTTGACAATTGACACTAATTCAGATGTCATTTTCGTGGCTGTATCATATGCTTGTTTGAGTTCGGATCTAATATCTAGATCAACTGTTTTTCTTTTAAAATTTCGACATCTCACTATAAATCAAATGATTTGTTCTTAATTAATTTAAATAAAAGTCAATTTTTTTTATTATATGATTGGATTTTATATATTTTCATGTTATATTGTTATGTAAGTGTTTAAAAAAACTCTTATCTCAAATTGCCTTGTATATTGTCGAAACTTCTAATTTACTAGTTTTGCTAGTTATTTCTATAGCCTTTTATTGAAAAAAATAGTTTCGTCAAAGTGATTTAAAAGAATCGAAGTGTAAAATTGTAACGATATTTTAGATGTTAGTAGATGAAATCCATCTAGGCGATAGCCGAATATAGATATGAGATCCAGACTCATGCTCGACTCTAGTTTTTTTATGGAGGTCTTTAATCAAGTTTGACTAATAGAATAACTCCATTTTTTTTTTCTTTTTCTTTGTGGAGTGATTTTATATAGGTAAATTTACAAGATATGCCTTATATTTATAATTTGAATAACATATTTTTACAAATTTATGCTTTGCATATTATGTTTTATAATGGGTTATTGGCGCAAAACGTCCCTACCTATGACAGTCCTTGTGTAAAATATCCCTACGTTTAATTTCTTGGTGCAGAACGTCCCTACCTTTGCATTTTCTTACGCAAANATTTTTTGGCGCAGAACGTCCCTACCTTTCACTTTTTTTTGCGCAAAACGTTCTTTTTCGCAATTTTTGACATAAAATGACCAATATACCCTTCAATTTAAATAAAACAAAAAGGAAAAGAAAAGAAAAATCAAGAATAAATTGCAATCTGATCCAAAACATTTTAAAAAGTGCAAATCAGTCCAAATAAATTATTAAAATATTAACAATAATCAAAAATAAAAATAAAAACTCTCTCTCCTCTCCCTCACCCTCAGCCTCCTCTTCCCTCAGCCTCCTCTACCACCACCGAAAATCAGACACTATACCGGCGCCTCATCACCCTCTACAATCCCACACAAACAACAGCCCAAAAACCCAACAAAAATCTGATCAAAATTTCGCACAAAAAACCAACAAAAATCTGATCAAAACCGGCAGAATNCCACACAAACAACAGCCCAAAAAATCAACAAAAATCTAGTAGAAAGTGGGGAATATGGAAGACCTCAATATGCGTGCTTAATAGTTTATAGACAAATCGGCCTACGCTGCTGGTTTTCCCTCAAAATTGAACCTATTTCTGGGTTACCCATGCTCCTGCTGATGTCAAGAAGGTCTAGTAGAAAATTGATATAGTGGGCGACAGTTCCGGTGCATTGGGGTAGGTGCTAAAATGAAACCATCGAATTTGTTGCTTCACAATGAAACCACCAAATCTGTTGCTTCTAAATGCAAAATTTATTTTTCAAAATGTAAGAATTAAGCTCCTGGTTGCTTCTTGCTTCTGTCTCTTTCTGTGTTTTTTGGTGGTTAATCTATGAAGGCTAGAATAGGAGGTGAAGCTCAGGTTTATTATGGTCTAGATTCTGCCGGTTTTGATCAGATTTTTGTTGGTTTTTTGTGCGAAATTTTGATCAGATTTTTGTTGGGTTT